CTGTATTAAATTACTGGTGATATTATTGTTAACATAAATGATATAGTTATGAACATTGTTCCTAAATATATATATATATATATATATATATATATATATATATATATATATATATATATATATATATATATATATATATATATATATATATATATATATATATATATATATATATATTTACGAACTTATTATTATATATATATATATATATATATATATATATATATATATGTATATATATATATTTACAAACAATAATGTTGATAGTCATACCATTAATGTTAACGATATCATAGATAATTCAATACAGTAAGTCTAATGTGTATATATATATATATATATATATATATATATATAGGCACACAATATATATGTTACAAAAACTAAACTTAAAATTTTTAAATCAATATATGTCATTGCAAAAAGATTAGTTACATTAGACTTACTGTATTTGAATCATTGGTGGTAATATTTTAAATAATTCTTTGTCTGTATTTTTTGGTAGTTTTCTAGAAAAACTTTATCATAAAAGTGTTGGGAAATTAAATATAAAAGAAATTGCATTTTTTTTTTTTTAGTTTCTTTTGTGAACTCGAAAGACTTCCTTTATACTAGTGAAATATTTACCACAACGTTTGGACAGTTTACTAGGAGTAAAACCATCACTCCACATAACTTGTATCCATTTTCTCCTCAATTCCATATCTTTCAGAAAACTACCAACAAAAATAAGCATATTAAAATAATATGCTATTTATATTTAAAATATAATGTAGGATTTTAGCAAATAATGATTTGTAGCTACTTACACATGAAAAGAAACCCTTTTAATATATCTTTGAGTGCAATTATATGCAAAACAAGATAACATCATGATCTTTATATATCAATATTCTGTTTGAAAATCAAAATTTAAACAAAATAATATACATAACAAATAATAAAACTTTAAAAATGTTAAATACATTCACCCTAAACTGATATTATAAATTGTTTAATGCCCAAACGTGACGTCACGCGCTAAAAGATGTTGGCTTCAAAGTGGTGTGAATATAAGGCGTGTCTATCAGTTTATATGGTCGAAGGTTGCTGCTACACAAGATATAGTTCCTTTAATTTAATGTTTTGAAGTAAAAGAATCACAGCACTCTCAATAATTTTGTCTAAAAAAAATGTTTTCTAGTTTAAAAAAGAGAGGAATGAGTGAGAAGCCAAATTCAAAATTTTCCCAGCTGGATCGTTTATGTTTCTCCCAAAGATGAACAATTACCTTATGTTAATTTTATTTATTTTATTTATCTAATAATCATAATTAAGCCAAGATTATGTAAGTTATGTAACATTTGACTTTTTATTAGTCAATAACAAGAGTTAAAAGCTTTAAGTTGGATGAAACTTTACAGTATCTCTATTTGGGATCAAGACTTGATCCCAAATAGGGATACTCTCAAGTTTCATCCAACTTAAAGCTTTTAACTCTTGTTATTGAGACTAATAAAAAGTCAAAGGTTACATAACTTACATAATCTTGGCTTAATTATTAATTAATCTTGGCTTAATTATTAATTAACTTATAAGTTTAAAAATTGGTCATGGCTCAATGATTTATTAACATTAAAAAGGGACTTTTTTGTTTACAATTAAGTCTTCAACTTGATTCAAGTTGAAGACTTGATTGTAACGGGGCTTTTTTGTTTACAATTAATTCTTCAACTTGAATCAAGTTGAAGACTTAATTGTAAACAAAAAAGCTTTTTTAATGTTAATAAATCATTGAGCCATGACTAATTTTTAAACTTCTAAGTTCAATAAGTTTTTGTTATCAAATAAAGACTTATTGAAAAAGATAAGTTCAACAAAAAAGTATAGTTGGTATGACTCATCCTCCCCCCAACCATATTTCTTGCTCTGTTCCAACAAATAATTGGTTGGTAACTGAAATTGATAACTGATTCAAGTGATTAGTTCAATTCTTATAAAAGGGGTCTACTCTAGTAATGCCTCGCTAAATAATAAGAATTCTTATTCATTTAACATGTATTGTAAAATCAGAGGCGAGTTATGTCACTCGCCAAGATAGAGGCTAAAAAGGTCAACAAAAAAAAGTCTGCATATATTCATTTTTAAGTAACTTTTTTTTATTTTTTTGTACTTTAGTGTAATAGTCAAGTTCATATACATATAATTACGTATAATAGCCAATTTCATTTGTCAGTATTGTAGTCCAATCCTGTATAATAGTCAATTTAAAAAAGAATTTTTTGAAAAAAAGTCCTAAGGAAAGGGGGAGGGGGGCTACTACCCTATGCCCCCTCCCCCTAAAATCTGTCACTGTGTAAAATCTCCTCCTTTTCAGTGGTTACCATATGGCAACCCTATATTTATATATATATATATATATATATATATATATATATATATATATATATATATATATATATATATATATATATATATATATATATATATATATATATATATATATATATATATATATATATATATATATATATATATATAAAGGGGGTCCAAAATTAAAAGCCACACTTTTTTGATAAAAAAAACAACAAATATAATAAAAGTAATTCAGGATTAAACTCATATAATGAAAGTAATTCAGGACAATTTTTAAAGAAATGCATATAATATTATTGTATATTACATATAATAAAAAGAAATTAGGATTTGTAAAGTATTTTTCAAGTTTTAGCTCTATTAGTACTTTATTGGCCATCTTTTGTTTCTAATGACTTTGGCACATCTAGAAAACATACTAACTACAAATCTTTTTAATAAGGCATTTGGTAAAGCATTCCAACCAGCAAGAAGAATTTGGAACAGCTCGTCTATGATCTTTCGATTTTTTATCCAATATAGACCAAAGATTTTCTATTGGATTTAAATCAGGAGACTGTGCTGGCCAAGGCATAACTAGCATCATTTTCGCTTCCAGTTATCTTTTATTTAACTGTGCCGTATGTTTCAGATTGTTATCTTGTTGAAAGATTTAGTTGTTACAGGGAAAAGTTTTTCTATACTTGGTTCAAGTTAATAAACTAAGATTTTGTGATACAAATGCTGGTCCATGGTACACTTCACCCGGTAAAGCTTTCTAAATTTGTGTACACTAAAACAAACCCAAACATAAATTTTTTTGTTATTTTTAATGGTAGCCTTGCATTTTGTCGGTTGAATTTTTTCCTAATTAATTTCCAGCAGTGAAATTGACAAATATAAAAAACAAAAAAGGAGACTCATTGCTCTAAATAACTTTAAGCACTGCTCACATGTCCAATATTTGTGCTCAATGCACCACTTTAATCTCTTTTTTTTTGCACCCCATTGTATATAAATATATATATATATATATATATATATATATATATATATATATATATATATATATATATATATATATATATATATATATATTTATAGCATAAAACATTAATCCTATAACATTTTGTATTTGTATATTATAATAGATATTTTTAAAGAGATATGATGAAAATGAAAATCTGTTTGCTCTGGAAAAATAATTATTTATATTTAAAAAAAAAAAAACATTTTTCCAAATTATAATTAATTGTTTCTAATGTGATGATTTTTTAGTATAAACAATGAAGTTAATTGTTTTTAATTCTGTCAATGAATTATTTCTAGGTTATAACAGAGATGCATCATGTTTTTATCGTGAAGTATCTTTGTTAAATATTAATTAAATCTTTCTTCAAATTTAAAAAGATTGTATTAATGCTTAAAATTAGCTGTAAAAATTATTATTGTTAAGTAGGCAAACAAATAATCATTAACAACACAAAGTTTTAAATCTTAACAAAGTGTTTCATGTCTAAGTATGATGTATTAATAGAGTATAGTAATGAGCTATATTGATTTGTTTTTTAACTAAAGCTTTTTAAAAAGTAATGTTTTGTCTTTATTAGTATCAGCTTTGCAAAGTTTACAAATTCAAAGTTTGTAGTTTCATTTGTAAGCCAGTTCTGTAAAACATCCGTAAATAGTTTTACAGAACAGACTTTAAGATTGTTCTGGGACAACTTTATGCTTAAATCTTGATAATCATCAACTTGGTATAATGATGCAGAAATCTGCTTACATGAAACTCCCTCCACCATCTTTAGAACTGCTCTTTGCATAAAGTAACATCATCAAAAAAACATCAAAAAAAACAACAATAAACCAACAAAAAACATAAAAACAAACATATGCAAATATTGTATGAAAACATAACAAGTTTATTGAATAGTTTTCAAACTAATGAAATTGCCATTTTAGCAAATTTTGTTACATCATATTTGCTTACCATTAAAATTTAAATATATTTGCTATAATATATTTTCATTAAGAAAGGTAGAGTAACATGAATTTTTTCTTTTACAGGAAAGTTTTGTTACAGAAAATTTACATGATAGGTTTAATCAGTAGCCATAATTTGGTTCCTAAACATAAAGATAAAAAGCCTTTAGCAATGTCTTGAATGTAGGTGTGGCTACATTCAGTTATGGCAGTTAGCATTTATTAGTCAATTCATTTGTTTTAAATAACCATTTAGAAAAACTTTACAAAATGTTTCATAATATGCTAAACAATTTTTTTTATGTGACCTACCTTCTTTTCTTTTAATTTATAAATTTATTTTATTTATTTAATTTATTGTTATTATTACCTATTTAATTTATTGTTTTACATTTTACATTTAAAAATGTTGCATAATGTTTCCATTGTTTTACATTTTACATTTACATTGTTTTACATTTTACATTAAAAAATGTTGCATTATGTTTCCATACATCTTTTTTTTTTATCATCTTATTCATTTTATTCTTACTCCAATGTCAGGGGTTATTAATTTTTTTGTGTTTTTTATTTATAAAATTATACACATTACCTGTTATTTTAAATTTTATTTTTTTAAATTTAATTTAAATTGAAAAAGATAAAACAATCTGTATGTATTTTTATAATATATTATTATATAGACCAAAATCAGATGTGTATTCTGACCCATGGAATGCTATTGCTGCCTGGTTTCTTGGACCACGAGCAGAAAACAGAGAATCTTTAAATCGTCTTGTTTTAAGCACATTAAATTTTTATGAAGATTGCAGAGAGAATTATTATCCTGCTGATCCATGTTACATCACTGAAGAAGTCAAAGCATCTCCTGGATTTCGTGGTGAATTAAAAGATTTAGAAAAGAAGTTAGGAGAGCTTAATAATGAATTGACAGATTCCATTCCTTTCTATAGTACAAGATATCAGGTTAGAATATAATAAATAATATTTGTACATTACATTTATTGAAAAAAGTTTGATACCATTTTTATTATTTACAGCTCAAAAAATAAAAGCAGTATTATTTTTAAATCATATTTTATGCCTATTTTATTTTTTTACTTAATCGCAACCCTCTAACAAGCTTTTGTATGTAATCCATATCAAATTTAGTTAAACATTTTTTTATTCTCTTTCTGAGTTGATTAGTATTTGAAGCAAAGACATTATTGTCCTACACTTTCCTTTTTAATTGAGTCCAAAAGTCCTCAATAGAACCAGTTCCTTAGAGATATGCAGGGTTTTATTCCTTAGTTACCACTGGTATATTGTTTTTAACTAAAAAAACAATCACCATTTTTGCATAATGTGGTAAATCTAGCCAAAGTATGTAATTGTGATCAGAATGGTACTGTTTCAAAAATGTTAACAATATCTAGCTTTTAAACATTCTTCCTTATATACATACTGGTTAATACAGGGTTCATGGCACTCAGGGAAAACCTGGAAAACCAGGGAAAAGTTTTAAAAATTTAGAAAATCAGGGAATACCTGGAAAAGTCAGGGAATATTTGTTAAAAATCTGTAAAATCAGGGAAAACTCAGGGAATTTTGTTCAGTATTATATTTAGCTTGAAGTTATTTTGCAAAATACACATTTTGAGTGTTTATTGTTGTTGAAAATTGCTCACTAAAGTGTTTTTTTAACTTTTATATTATATAGTAACTATATGTTTAGCTAAATGTATAAATAAATATAATAATATAAGACATGACTTCAGAAAAGACTTATTTTCAAGAGGATTGGTTACAACAAGATATTTATAAAGATTGGTTAGTTCCCAACGCACATGCAAAAACTAAAGCTTATTGCAAAAAATGTAAAAAATCATTTGAATTGTCCAATATGGGTATTCAGGCTGTTAAAAGTCATGCAGCAGGTATTTACATTAACTTTTTTAACGTGAGAGTGAGAATTAAAAAAAAAATGTTGCTTAATTGATTCATTATTTTATATTTTAATATCAGTTTCAAACACATTGTAATCAACTTTTGATTGCAACCTGTTTCAGTTGTTTTCCTTGTTGGTTGGTTGCTAATATTGTAATTTCAAACTTTACAAGCTAAACAGATTGAGAAAAAAGATAAAAAATTTTAGACATTTTAAATGTTTCATTATTTATTTATCTTGTTTTAGGTAAGAAGCATCAGTCTGCTACAAAGCCTGTTAGTTGTTTCTTTATTAATGGAAAAGAGTTGCATGCTGAACCACTTGGAAGTGAGGAAAAAATATCCACATTTTTCACCAAAAAACAAGCAACTATTGTCTCTTTAATTAAATCATCGTTATCAACTAATGCTGAGATCATATGGGCCCTGAAATCTACAATGAGCTGCTACTCTAATAACTCATGTGCAAATTTAAATGACACTTTTAAAAAGATGTTTCCTGATAGCAAGGTAGCAGAAGATTTCACTATGAGCACCTCAAAAGTATCATACATTGTTAACCATGGACTAGCCCCATACTTCAAGACACTTTTAAAAGAAGAAATCACAAAGTCTGATTGTTACATTGTATCTTTTGATGAGAGTTTAAACGACATAACCCAAACTTGTCAGATGGATCTACTTGTTCGGTATTGGGATGGCAATGACAAAGTTAAAGTGAGATATTGGACATCAACATTTCTTGGTCATTCTGCAGCTTCTGACCTTCTTACACATTTCAATGAAAACTTATCAAGATTTGATTTAAGTAAAATGTATCAAGTATCCATGGATGGACCCTCTACGAATCTGAAATTTCTAGATGATCTTAATAAACACAGAAAGGACAACGAGATGCCACAACTTATAAATATTGGAAGTTGCTCTTTGCATGTAATCCATGGTGCTTTTAAAACAGCTATCGAATCAACAGCATGGAATATTAAAGAAATTTTAAAAGGGTGTTGGCAAATTCTTCATGATAGCCCAGCTAGACGTCAAGATTATGAAACAGTCACAGGTGCAACAAAATACCCTCTTTTTTTTTGCGGAACAAGATGGGTTGAAAGTAAATCTGTTGCAGATCGTTGCATTGAAATCTGGCCTAATATATGTAAGTTGATTGAGTTTTGGGAAAAGTTACCATCTTCGAAACAACCTAAATCAAAAAGCTTTTTAAATGTAAAAACGGCTGTTAAAGACAAACTTATTATTTTAAAATTTGAAGTTTTCAGCTTTGTTGCAAGCATATTAGAGCCATATTTGTTGGCATACCAAACTGACAAACCAATGATTCCATTCATGTATAGTGACTTAGAAAAACTGTTACGAACCATACTAAGCTTGTTTGTGAAACAAAATGTTATTGATAATAGTTGTATTTCAGTACAACTAAAAGAAGTTGATTTTCATAAAAAAGATAATCTACTTAAAGGAAATCAAATCAAACTAGGGTTTGCAGCTGAAACAAGACTGGCTGCTTTACGAAAGAAAGATATAATAACCATTGCTGATATTCAAAGTTTTCACAAAGATTGCACTAACATGTATGTTCAATTGATTGAAAAGTTCACGGACCGAACTCCACTAGGATCTATCATTATACGCAACTCTCAGGTTCTTAATCCAAATGCAATGGTAGTAATGACTCAAGAAGATGCTGAGAAGAAGTATAAATCTTTATTGACCCACTTGATTAGCTTGAAATATGTTTCACCAATCTTTTCTGATAAAGCTATAAATCAATTTGCAGATTTCTTTAGAGAATCAAGAGTTTATCAAGACATCTTTCATGAGTTCAATCGAGAAAGAGATAGCTTAGATGACTTCTATTTTAAAAAATTTAACCTAAATAAATATAAAGAATTTGCATTGACTGTTAAAATATTATTAACACTAAGCCATGGACAAGCCTCAGTTGAGAGAGGTTTTAGTATAAATGCCACAGTACTAGAACAGAATTTAAATGAAAAATCAATAACTGCAAGACGTTTAGTCAAAGATCATATGCTATCAAATAATCTTCAGCCACATAGTATTGAAATTACTAGCAAAATGATCATTAGCGTAAAATCGGCACACGAAAGATATAGAAGCTACCTAAATTCAATCGCAGATACAAACAAAAAAGAAGCAAGTCAATTGGCAAAAAAAGTTGTTAGCGATGAAATAAAAGATGTTGAAACAAGGCGAGATCAACTGAAGAAAACCAGTGAAATGTTGCAGTTTGATTTTGTAAAATTTGTGGAGGAAGCAGAGGAGAAGCAAGATCTAGGGTTAATTTCTAAAGCTAATGCGATGAAACGAAAAGCAAATGAAAAAAATGAAGAAATAAAGAAATTAGAGCTAGCACTTTGCATCTTAGAGCAAAAAAGAAAAATGCTAAAATAATATATTCGTTCTCACATGAAGTTTATATTTTGTTAACAAAACACATTATTTTTTTCAAAGCATATATAAAATGTTATTTTTTTAATATTTCTTTTAGTTATCAGATTAATATGGCTCTGTTTCTTGTTTAAAACACCTTTAACAGATTGCTATAAATTAATTAAAGACAGTCTCTGATTTCTTAAAAAATAGTGATAAAAAGTATTTAGGGAACAAGGATTCAGTTGCAATAGTATTATATTTTTCAACATTGATAGGCAAAATATTTAGACTTTTCACCGCACAAACTCAGGGAAAAAATACTTGAAAATCAGGGAAAATCAGGGAAAACTCAGGGAAAATGGTTTTTCAAAACTGCCATGAACCCTGTAATAGTAAAACCATTTTCTCTAACCAATGATTCAACAAATCCTCTACACAAAAATGCTATCCAAACTAGTACTTTACCTTCAAACTTTGGAGTTTTTCCATATTTTATCGATGGGGAGTATTTGCTTTATTATCAGTATAATAGAATCTATTTCCATTAATAGCACTGGTCAACAAAATGGAACTCATCATGAATAAAAATATTTTTTTCTGGATAAACTTTTCACTCTGGTTCCAAATATCTATTTAGTTTTTCTCTATCACGTACACATTTTGAGATAAGGGCCCCTCTTATTTTGCAAATCTCAGGGAAATTAAGACATTTGCCTTAAGTTGTGTTGTATGAATTTGCATCTCCTACCCTATTACTATCTTAGATCCGTACAATTGTCAACAATTTTAGTCAGTATTAACATATACAATGTTTTATTCACTACAATTATCACAACATTGCTCAAAATTGCCGTGAATATGACTTTCTTTTAAAGACTTTGTCTGGGTTGTCACGATAAAGCTTCCAGCAGTAATCACCCATCATGCTTTCATTCCAAAACCCTTGATAGCGATTTTCCATCAGTTGAATATCTTGATGAAATTGTTCACCTTGTTCATCACTCACTGCACCCAGATTTTCAGGAAAAAATTTCAGATGGGAATGTAAAAAGTGCAACTTCAAAGACATGCGACATCCCATTTTTTGATATGAATCGAGCAGCTCTTGAATGCCTTCTTCATATTCAGGTGACTTGTGGTTACCAAGAAAGTTAGCACAAACCCAAGTAAAGGCTTGCCAAGCTTCCTTTTCTTCATCTGTGAGAGAATTTTTGAAATTAATATCTCGTAAAACCTCTCTAATTTGAGGTCCGACAAAAGTTCCTTCTTTCAACTTTGCTGCACTCATTTTTGGAAATTTTTCCACCAAGTATTGAAATCTAGCTGAATTGGATTTCCCCATTGCTTTTACAAAGTTCTTCATCAAGTTTGATATGTAGAGGAGGTAAGAAAATCTTTTGTGGATCGACCAAAGGAATATTTTCAACACTAATTCTTCCTGGCTCATACTCATTCCTTTGGTCCCAATCTCGTTTCACGTAATGCTCTGTTACAGCGCGGCTGTCCCACAAACACAAGAAACAGCAGAATTTTGTGAAACCCATTTGCATGCCCATCAGCATGCCAATGACTTTTAGATCACCTCAGATATTCCATTGATGAGTTTTGTAGTTGATTGCCTCAAGGAGAATTTTCATGTTTTCATGCGTCTCACTCAGATGAACAGAATGAGCAATTGGTATGCAAGGCTTTTGATTTCCTTTATGCAACAACACAGCTTTCAAGCTTCGCTTTGACGAATCGATGAACAAACGCCATTCAGAAGGTTCATGCGGCTGTGATATATTTTCAAACAGTCCACTGATGTCATTGCAATAGCACAATGGGCCATCAACAGTAAAAAATGTAGGTAATTGAAGATTACGCTTTTGGTAGTGGCACACTTTAACGTTTGTTGCAAGCAAATTTTTTTGTTTAAGTCGTGACCCTAAAAGTTCTGCTTTTTCCTTTGATAAGGTTAAGTCTCGGACCAAATCATTTAGTTCTTCTTGAGTGAATACTTCTGGCATTTTTTCGACATCAGGTGAATAGTCAAGATCGGCAGTATCTTGATGTTCATCACAAGAGTCCACTTCCATCTCATCTTCGACAGAATCTAATCCATCTATTAGAGGCATTGGAACTGGCCTCATTGCCGAATCCAAATCTGGATAAACGATTTTGTGCCTCATTTTCAATGAAAATCTAGTTGTATTAACAATGCAAAAATAACAATCAGTTACATGATCCTTTGGCTCCCGCCATACCAAGGGTATGGCAAATGAAAATGCAGTTTTCCGTTTGTGAAGCCAGTCACGCAATCCACTAGAGCAGCTTGTGCAAATAATATGTGGAGCCCATGTTTTATCTTGATCACCTAACGGACATCCAAAGTACAATTTGTAGATTTTTGACAAGTTCGCTGTAATTTTAAATCAAACCTGAAATGAGGTATAATATCATTAGTAATTGCCACTAATCTCAAAACATAAGGCATGTCATCTCAAAAACTAGACGTGCTACAAAAAAACTGAGCACAGATTTGAAATCTGCACAAAAAAATGTATTTGGGCCACCAAAAATCAAGTCTGATGAAAAATTGTTGTTGACCAGTGTAGTTAAATGCGAAAGTGTGAAATAAAATTCATATCCTTGTAATTCATATGAAAAAAACAGCATTTGCTTCTTGCTTCCACCATCTTAACAAAACTTCTATTTTAATTTTCTTAAAACAATCTCTAGTTTTTGATTTAGAAAATACGGTTGACTGCAATTGAATTTTTTAGCTAACTTTCTTTGTGATAAACCACTTTTATTGTTTGTCTATTGTCTCAATCAATTTAAACTTGTGTATCAGAAATAACAGCCGGTTTACCTGCTCCTGATTGTTTATTTGCATTAATTCCATCTTCATTATGCTCAATTGTATAATAAATGGTTGATTTGTTTGCTCCTTCAGCTACAAGATGATCAACTGTATACTTCTTTCCTTCGTTTATATTATTTTCATAAAACTTTTACACGTTTTTGTAAGAGCTCTTTTTTAGACATGGTTTATAAATAAAACTTTCAAAATAATTCAGAAAGATAAATATGATTTTTGTAGTACGTTAAATCGAGTTTATTAAAAAAACCACATAATTGTCCAAATGCAAAAAAATGACCTATTTATTTCAAAACAAAGTCATTCTGGATAATTACCTATTGTGTTATATACTTTGTTGTTGTGCTGGGAGTATGAAGCCTACTTTGTTTAACTAAAACCGTGAACGCTTTTTTACAATTTATTAATAATGGTCTAAAAACTTGAAAAAAGTAAGTAAAAGTTTGTTTTAGTTAATTTTAAAATTGTTTATTACCACAATATAAATAAATCAATGGAATAAATATTTATTTTTACTTTGTAAATTAGGGGCACATGACATGGGAAACAACAATGCCAGCTACTCTTGGGTATTTTGCTGGAATGTTATGGAATCAAAATAATGTTGATTCTACAGCATCTCCTGTAACTACTCAAATGGAAATTTTGGTGGGAAAACATTTATGTGATCTCATACAATTTCCAAAAAATGACCCTGCACCATGGGCACACATAACTAGCTGTGGCTCTGTTGCAAACATTGAAGCTTTATGGTCAGCAAGAAATCTAAAGTTTCATCCATTGGCTATCAAGGCTTGTGTTATGGATGTAGATGCAGACCCTAAATTACAAGGTTTGTTAAATTAAGCAAAAAAATTATTTTGTTTTTATTAATTTTATGTTTATCTCAGTATAAGAAAGTCTATGTTCATTTATTCAACAGTGTTATATGTTTTACTATTTGTCTGTATGACATATTTATAAAGTAAGAAAAAAGTTCTTGATTTTTGATTATTATTGTAAACTTCATAATCATTTTATATAAAAGAATTTGTTTTCATGTTTATTATATAAAAATAACTAAAATATTTATCAAAGATTTTTTTTTGGTCAATTGTTATAAAGTAAGAGTTTATTTTTTAAACAAAATTCTTAAACCAGTTTTTTTCTAGTTTTTGATACTGTTGTGTGAAATTATCAGTTCTTTTTGTAATGCTGGTATATGTTGGTTATATGTCAACAAAATATGGTAAAAACTTTTGGATAACCTCTACAGGTTGTGTGTATATATAAACTACACACACACACACACACACACACACACACACACACACACACACACACACACACACACACACACACACATACACAAATATATATATATATATATATATATATATATATATATATATATATATATATATATGTATATATATATATATATATATACAAGGGTTGAATTAACGCATCACGAATTGCGATATCTGTTAAATTATCTGGTCTTCAAAGTTTCAGTTTATGGAAAACCATGAAATTTACGGAATAGGCGAATAAACTTTAATTTGTTAGTAAAAATGTTATGAAAAACAAAACAATAAATTTATGACTACAAAAGTAATAATACTACAGTGTTGTTACTTTTATAACACTCTTTTATGTTACATTTATAGTTTATTGTTTGATCAAACAACACATAATCAAGCTATTATAAATAAAAATGATTTAGTTAAGTAATTCCAAACTTTAATTAAAGTAGTAATGCATCTAGAAAAAATACAATGGATATTTAAACAATGTTAAAAACCTAAGCAACTTTTACGAATACATATATATTTATAAACAGTTTAGCATTTCTAAACATCTTACAAACGGTCCGGAAAAAACGCGCGTTCACTTTAAAATCAACCAATGAAAACACTGGTAATTTACTTCTTAGGAGAAATTTATATTAAAAGGGGAGGGGGGGAGGCTAAAAACTTAAATTTTGTTTTATTATTTAATCAATTCAATCATAATAAAAGTAAAGACAAAAAAATATATTTCTAAATATACTTCTTTATAACTAAAATTTATTAAATTGAACACCTCTGTTTTTAGTTTTAAGTAAATGTCAGTACTACTCTCAGTGGCGAAACTGCGGGGAGGATGGGGGGAGGGGGTTAGCAGACAAAAAGTGTCCTATTTTTAAACTAATTTTAGGTTGCATGGGCGATATGGGGCTCATTTTAAAAATCGTGTTATTTGTTTATAACAAGTCACTTGTTATAAACAAAAAACTATATCTCAAAACAAAAATTCAGTGAAAATTGGTCTTAAAATTTAAAAAAATATATATTGGTAACCGATAAATAATAAAACTTTCATTGTAAATCCTCCCGCTTTTTTTTATTATTTTCTCCTCCCATTTGATACATCCTGACTAAAATTCCCACCCCCACCTACCTTTGTATTAAGCACATTAGAGTAGTCAGTAGCAAAATCCCCCCCCCCTTGCGCACGATTTTCAAAGTGAGCTCCGTATTGCCCATGCAACCTAAAATTAGTTTAAAAATAGGACACTTTTTGTCTGCTAACCCCCTCCCCCCATCCTCCCCGCAGTTTCGCCACTGAGAGTAGTACTGACATTTACTTAAAACTAAAAACAGAGGTGTTCAATTTAATAAATTTTAGTTATAAAGAAGTATATTTAGAAATATATTTTTTTGTCTTTACTTTTATTATGATTGAATTGATTAAATAATAAAACAAAATTTAAGTTTTTAGCCTCCCCCCTCCCCTTTTAATATAGATTTCTCCTAAGAAGTAAATTACCAGTGTTTTCATTGGTTGATTTTAAAGTGAACGCGCGTTTTTTCCGGACCGTTTGTAAGATGTTTAGAAATGCTAAACTGTTTATAAAAATATGTATTCGTAAAAGTTGCTTAGGTTTTTAACATTGTTTAAATATCCATTGTATTTTTTCTAGATGCATTACTACTTTAATTAAAGTTTGGAATTACTTAACTAAATCATTTTTATTTATAATAGCTTGATTATGTGTTGTTTGATCAAACAATAAACTATAAATGTAATAAAATGTAAGAGTGTTATAAAAGTAACAACACTGTAGTATTATTACTTTCGTAGTCATAAATTTATTGTTTTGTTTTTCATAACATTTTTACTAACAAATTAAAGTTTATTCGCCTATTCCGTAAATTTCGTGGTTTTCCATAAACTGAAACTTTGAAGACCAGATAATTTAACAGATATCGCAAATCGCGATGCGTTAATTCAACCCTTGATATATATATATATACATATATAGTGCTCAAAGTGAGGTGAGATGCAGCGGGATGCTATCCTGTCACCTTTTTATAAAGTATAAACTATCCTGCCACCTTTTTATAAATCTCTATATATAACAATTATTATATATATATATATATATATTTGTTAGAACAAGGAGATACATGTTTTAAAGGTCACGTAGGTCCATGCAAAAGATGGACACTAACAGCGTTCCCTTACAAAAACTAAAAATGTACCATAACAAAAATGTAACAATCATAATAAACAGTGTTTTTTTAAATTGGGTGAGTTAATTTTTTTTTTTTAATATAGAAATATTTTTTGAGTGTACAGCATCCAAATTATTCAGATGTCAGCAACTCTGTAAGAAAGACTATACTTTCTTACAGAGTGTCTAAGTGACAATATTGTTTTCGAATTTATAAATATGACTGCAAGTGTAGTTATTGCTGTCAACATCGAAGAACAGGGAACTTTTAATACAAATAAGATTTTAAAAAATTATAAAACATGTTACTAAGTCTTGTTTTAGGTGCCTAACTTCAAGTTAGGCACCTAAAACAAGACTTTTTTATTGTAAATTCATCAACATCAAGACATTTTTATTGTAAATTCAAGATTTTTTTATTGTAAATTCATCAACTCATAAACTTTACTAACTTGTAGCCTTTTAAAGCAATTATTTTTTAAAATGTAGATGGTAAAATACTATAATATACAACTACAACTAACTCAGATGTATGTGATACCCTCCCCTCCATCCCCCCCCCCCCAGTCTTATTCATTAAAATTTTTTAATAAAATCAAAAAACTTGTGAAATTTTTTTATAATTTTATAAAAATTACTATTGCAACCTTATCTGTTTTCCAACCTCATTTATTTATCATACTGACTGTAATCCAATCCTTTTTATTATAATTAGCAATAAGATCAAATTTTGTTCACTTAGAAATTGCTTAGCTTCAATAAGTCTTTTGATTTTTAACAAGAAAGGAGTAATATAGATATGTATGCTTGTTTCTGTTTATCAAACACTTTAATTTTTGATCTAGACATATGGTATGTAACACACATAAAACAATACATTTCTGATTTTCCCTATGTAATTAAATAATTTACATATATAATTAAATTACAAATAGCCTTTTATATTTCAATTTTTCAAGTAAACATATCTGAAAAGACAAATAACCAAGAAGTTTGACTTGTTTATTTATAATATTGAATGGTTCTGGTTTTTAATGAGCGATCTGGAAAACATTCTTCCAATCGTCTGGTGAAACCTTTGATTTGCAATGGTCATGTATCCAGCACATAAATTCAAATCAATTTAATACGCTTTACATTTGAGGCAAAAGATAATTTAAAATTTATGTAGCATAGAGCATACAGACCATTTGTTGCCAACAGTTTTATCATAGCAATAAAAATATACTTTTTGAGATGAAAGTAATAGTGCACATATTGATTAGGCATTTCAGGGTTTGTTTGGAAAAGTAAAGCAGATTACCATAATTAAAATTGAGCTGAGTTTAAAGACATGCAGCTCTATTCCTCTGATAAATTGTTTCAGCTTTTCTCTGATGGAGCTGAAGTGATGCCTTCAAAGCATTCTTATTTTGTAGCATACTTTTAGCAGCATCAGAATCAGACAATTTATTGAGTCTTATTATTCACATTGTTTGGTCACAAAATAAGCAAGCATTTTATTTAGGATATCCAAATTACAAGTTACACCTAATGATTAAAAACAAAATTTTTCTGCTTTGTGGACGCTTAATTCTATGACCATAAATAAGGGAAGAAATATATAAATCCTGCTCATTTTATTGTTTTCAAGTTATTGAAATACAATATTAATTTTATTCTATCATCTTCTGTTCTTTAGATTAACACATTTTTTTTTTTATTTTTTTTTATTATCTTCGTTCCAACAAGGCTGCAAGCAACCACTAATTAGTGTTGGAAGTTACTGGAAGAGAAAAGATGAAGATTGTAGAGCAAGATAACGATTGACAGACGACTTAAAAGATTGCAAATTATATGAATCAGGAAAGCAAGATGAAGGAAGCGAATTCCAAAGAACTGATGTTCGAGGAAAAAAACTAGACGAATAAGAGTTTTTGGAGCACTTAGGAACAGTAACAGAAAAAGGATGAGACTTACTTGAATGACGAGTAACACGAGAATGAAATTTAGTAGATGGCACAAGAGACGCTAGCTCTTTTGAGCAGTGTCCATTATAGTATTTGTAGAAAAGAGAAAGAGAAGCAACATTACGACGATGTGACAGAGGTTGAAGGTTGGCTGCAAGAGCAGGTCTAACTATGTTTACAATGCGTTTTTGCACCTTGTCTAAAAGAGAAAGGGCATCATTAGAAGATCCGCCCTCGATATGGCAACAGTATTCCATACAAGACCGGATTTGAGATTTATATAGATAGAGAATAGAATCCAAAGTAAGAAAGTGACAAGCTTGATAAAGAGAAGCAACTTTAGCAGATGCTAATTTTGCAACGGATTTGATATAAGGTTTCCAAGAAAGATCAGAAGTAAGAATT